CGCCGTTAAGTTTTGTAGTCTGCTCAATGTAACAGCCTACCCCCCCAAAAGACAAACAGTGCAAACAGCCCCAAAAATGCCCCCGTAGTTCAAAATGGCCCAAAAAGCTTATTTTTTTTTTTTGCCATTTGATAGCACTATTTGCTTGTGCATGCACACACGAGTTCCAACATGCCAACTCGATGCCAAAAAGCACTTATTTGAGTACTTCTTAGTACATTTGAATGTGCTACGGCGGCTGTCAGCCAAGGCCTCCGCAGCTTGCCAGCCAGGGCCTCCGCAGCCTGCCAGCCAGGGCCTCCGCAGCATGCCAGCCAGGGCCTCCGCAGCCTGCCAGCCAGGGCCTCCGCAGCCTGGCAGCCAGGGCCTCCGCAGCCTGCCAGCCAGTGCCTCCGCAGCCTGCCAGCCATGACCACTGCAAGCTGCCGCCCAAGCTTGCCGCCACGGCCTCCGCAGGCTTGCTGCCATGGACTCCGCAGGCTTGCTGCCATGGACTCCCAGCGCAGCCAGCCAGTCCTCCGCAGATTGCCAGCCAGGCCTCCGCAGCCTGCAGCCAGGGCCTCCGCAGCATGCCAGCCAGGGCCTCCGCAGCCTGCCAGCCAGGGCCTCCGCAGCCTGGCAGCCAGGGCCTCCGCAGCCTGGCAGCCAGGGCCTCCGCAGCCTGCCAGCCAGTGCCTCCGCAGCCTGCCAGCCATGACCACTGCAAGCTGCCAGCCATTGTCTCCGCAAGCTAGCCGCCACGGCCTCCGCAGGCTTGCTGCCATGGACTCCGCAGGCTTGCTGCCATGGACTCCGCAGGCAGCCAGGGCCTCCGCAGCCTGCCAGCCAGGTCCTCCGCAGATTGCCAGCCAAGGCCTCCGCAGCCTTGCCAGCCAAAGCCCCGCAGGCCTGCCAGCCGGCAGCTAGGGCCTCCGCAGCCTGCCAGCCAGGGCCTTCGCAGGCTGCCAGCCATGGCCTTTGCATGCTGCCAGCCATGGCCTCCGCAAGCTGCCAACCTGGGCCTCCACAGGATTGCCTCCAGGGCCTCCGCAAGCTTGCTGCCAAGGTCTCCGCATGCTGCCAGCCAGGGCCTTAGCACGTTCGCAAGCACATTTGATTATTCTTTGGCAACCAACAATCATACCGAGGCACAAGCGGAACGTCACTTCATTTACTAGCGGATACATTTTTTCCCGTATGCATCAAGTTACATAAGCCATGGGCCTGTTGGAAAGCAGGGTCTCGAAGTGTTGGCAAGCAGGGCCGAGGCACACCTGCAACTTCTCCGTAAGGGCCAATAGCACGCTAGCTTTGAGGCGCAAGTATGTTGTGTAACTAGGCACACCTGATTATTTTTTTGCAACCAGCAATCGAAGGCACAGGCAGCATATCACCTCATTTTTTCACAAACAACAATCAAAGGCACAGGCAACAAGTGAATGAACTGTTATGTTGATGGTTGGCCACACAAAGTAATGAACAACCAATCGAAGCAAAGCATAAGACAACTCATGCGCCAATACGATCTCAAGCACTTCCACATCAAAAAGCCCAATGGCAACAGACTGTATCGAAGAGTAAGCCAAATCCTATGACAGGAGAACCAAAAGGTCAATGTAAAGATGTGGACGGCGAGCTCCCGCAATGCACGTATGGTAGCTGAGTTTGGGCCAGTTAAACATCCATAAAAGATGTAAAATAGCAAGCGACATAAGAGCATATACTCCAATAATGCCAATGATACCATGTGACTTGGCATATCGATTCAATCCACCGAATTCGACAATCCATCGCAAGTGTTTCATCCCCCACATGGCAATCAAGCTCTGCGACAAACTTTTGTGGCTCTGCTCTATGTTCAACCTACCCCCCCAATTGTCAAATATGGCAAACAACACCAAAAATGCCCCCGTAGTTCAAAATGGCCCAAAAAGCTTTTTTTTTTTTGCCATTTCATAGCACTATTTGCTTGTGCATGCACACACGAGTTCCCAACATGCCAACTCAATGCCAAAAATCACTTATTTGAGTACTTCTTAGTACATTTGAATGGGCTACGGCGGCCTGTCAGCCAGGGCCTGGGCATGCTGGCAGCCAGGCTCTCGCTGCACCAGGCCTCCGCAGCTTGCCAGCCAGGCCTCCGCAGCCTGCCAGCCAGGCCTCCGCAAGCATGCCAGCAGGCCTCCGCAGCCCGCCAGCCAGGGCCTCCGCAGCCTGCCCAGCTCGCAGCTTGCAGTCAGGCCTCTGCAGCTGCCAGCCAGGCTCCGCAAGCTTGCCGCCATGTCCTCCGCAGACTGCCAGCCTGGCCCCGCAGCGGAGCCAGCCTTCCGCAGCCCCAGGCCTCCCAGCATGCCAGCCAGGCCTCCGCAGCCTGCCAGCCAGGCCTCCCACGCTGGATGCGCAGGCCTCCGCAGCCTGCACAGGGCCTCCGCAGCCTGCAGCCAGGGCCTCGCATGCTTCCAGCCAGGTCCTCAGCTGCCGCTATGGCTCCGCAAGCTGCCAGCCTGGGCCTTCCGGCCAG